TTCATCTATTAAGCATTTATCAGCCTCCTTGACCGTTCTTTGGCTCCAACAGCTCCACCTTACTTTGCAATCATAAACTATGCACTTTTGCCAACCTGGAATGCACACTCTGTTCCTGCCTGGCCAGAGCTCACTCTAAATCTACACTCCCTCAACCCCCAGTATCCTAAGCTCTTTATTTGTTGGCAGCCAGTTAAAAGGGGTTTCCTTATGAATCATAGTGGGCAGGGAGGTTGAGTAGTATACCCTAGTCTTGTGCCATAATCTGTATGGAATGTATTTGAAAGGGAAGAAAAAAATCTAGAATTTAGTTCAACATTTGACTTCAAAACACATTCTCAAGATATTGGAGTGTGATGTGGAAAAAAATCAGTGCCTCTCTATGGAAAAGTTTACTCTCCCAATATTGTCTTCAGAGGGACAGGAACTAAGCTGTACACGCCCAAGTCTGAGGCTTCTGTGTAACAAGGTGCTCATTTCTTTGCTCTTTTAGACAATACAACTTTCCAAGGAAGACAATGAAAGTGGTCAGTCTAGTGATGAGGTGAAGGGGGAAACATGCTGTGAGAACACTCAGATACAAAGACAAAGGCGTCCACCTATTCTCTGGAACAAAAGTCGACATCTCAGTGATGCTATCTTTAGCTGCAACAAGTCTAAAGAGTGTTATGAGATACGGTGTGTTTATAAATGTCATGGGATAAAAATGAGAACATTGTTTCTCATCATGTCCTTTACCTGTTTACAGTAAGTCAGAAATAAAGATTTGCTTATCAGTATGTACTTGTCTAGAAAAATGAATCAAGAATAGCTATTGAGTTCTAAATTATATTTCAAAGAGACTACACTATATTATCCAATTGTTTTTCCTTTTTAAATCTCACAGAAATACTCAAGCTCCTGAAATTTTTTTTAAAAAGTAAAGGCATTTTGCGATGAAAAGCTAGAAAACTTGCAGGTGTAAGGTTAGAATTTGTTTGAAAAACTAAACCTATCACACACACTCTAATATTCTCCCAAATTATAATTAACCATGTCTCAGAAATGCAAAATTCACATATGCCACAAGTTTTCTCTAATTATCAATGTATTCTTTTTTTTTTTTTTTTTTTTGGTACCGGGAATCAAACTCAGGACCTTGCACTTACTAATGTATTTTTAATTCATGAATTTTATAAAATAATTGAAATGGAAACATGCCTCATACCTTCTAATTTTTTTCCTATTAAAAAAGAGTCAAATTATTTCATGCATTTGACTTTTATTTTGAGAAGGATTAAGGAAACTGTCTTCTATTGTCACGTTTGAAAATTTGAATATTTATTCTATATTTTGATCACACTTCATATATTATACATATGCATTTCTATGATAGAATTACAAAGCTAATATGAGGAATTTTTTAAATTGGTGACTAATTTGCATGAAGGACAAATAGAAAAGCTTATTTTTTGCAACTTTTCTGTGATATAATTTCAAACTAAAAAGTTTTAAAAATCAGCAGTCCGACTTACAAGAATTTATCTCAAGAAATAGCAAGTACAAAATAAGTCAGTGATGATTCTGCATTTTCTAGCTTAAGTGCAGGGTGAACAAAAGGCTGGGAAAAAACAGATCTGAGGGAGAGAGAGATGCATTCTCTTTGGGACACTTTTCTTTAATACCCATTGTACCTGCAGTTTTTGAAAGGGGCACTGGAGTCTAAGATTTTGAAGACAGTAGATATTATCCACTTCCAGGTATTTTGAATCAACTCACAGCCTTGCTCTTCATTCAAACTACTTTTCAGATAAAATTTACATCCTTCGCTCACGCTGATAATATGTTTCTTCTAAAAGGGGAAATTGACATAAATTATAATATTTAAAATAAAAATTCAGGGCTCAGTCATGATGGTACACATAAAATCACTGCTATTTGAGAGGGTCAGGCAGGAGAATAGTAAGTTCAAGGTCAGCTTTGGTGATTTAGCAAGACTCACTCTCAAAATAAAATTAATAAATGGCTGCGGGTGTAATTCAGTTGTAGACTACTCACCTAGCATGTGTGAGACCCTGCACTACAATAAAGAAGAGAGTGGAAGGGAAGGTAGGAGTGAGGCAAGGAGAAGACAGAAAGAAAGAGGAGAGAAAGAGACAGAGAGAGAGAGAGAGAGAGAGAGAGAGAGAGAGAGAGAGAGAGAGAGAGAGAGAGAGGAGAGAAAAAGGAAGAAAGAAAATTTCAAGTATTTCAAACAACTGATTCTCTATGGATATTAGAGATCAATATATCCATTCAAGACACTGATGGTAAGAGAGAAAACACTGTATATGTTCTCAAAAATTATTTGAAATTGAAAACATGTAAATCAGGAATTCTTCAAGAAAATTAGTCTCATGTTTTAACATTCCTAAACTTCAGGATCTATAACAACTTTTGTGCCAGAATACTAGTTGGACAGTAATTTGTTTAAAATAAACAACACTACAGTAAAAATAACCCTTGTTTTAATAAAGACTTCCCCTCTACCTAAACTTAATTTCATTAGAAAAAGGAGATATATTAATGCCAAAATGGGTTATATTGAGACTAAAAATGTTGGCTGTTCCAAATTTCAGGGTGTAAAAATGAACAGACTCAAAATGTTTTACTAAAATAACCATTATTTCAATCTGGTGTATATAGACAGTTTCAACTTTTCTGAGACCAAATGTTAGATATTCATGTCTGACTCTTGTTTGTTGCAAAATACCGTAGATGCCCTCCTATCATCTTATGACAGTAACTCAGGTTAAAATATAAACATATCATGTACAATTAATTTCTACTTCTTGTAGCAATTATGGGAATAAAAACAGCAATTCTTCCAGTCTCTTTACTAGATTAAAATGTCAATCAATTACGTCAAGCTTTGGGGCTCACTCTACCCAGATTGCTTACTTTTGATTCCAATTCTGCTCCTTATGAACAAGGATCTTGGATAAGATCCTAGACCTTTGTGTACCCCTTTCTTTCCACCTATAGAATGGAGCAGTGACAGTGTTTAGAGTTTTGGTCACATTATGCGCCACATAAGTTAGCCAAAGGAAAACGTATCCTGTTTGCCGAGATAAACAGAGTGTCTTCTTCCTCCAAGAGCCCATTCCCATATCATCAAATGGCTGCTGGAGCCCACGGATATTCCAAGGATTAGACCTAATATTTCCAAACAGATCCAGATGGTATTTCTTGGAAAAGAGGACTCCACCTGCACTATTAACACACCAGAAGTTCCAGGGCTCACAGCTTCTGAGCTGCTATTCTGCCTTCACCCCAAGAAGCTTCCAGAAGGAAGTGTCCACTGCCTACCCTTAGTCCATATTTGCTGAACAGTACCATGCTATGCTCTAGAAGGAAAACTTTCTTTCCTTTCTCCCTCTTCCCCAAGACCTGTGCAACCTATAGGTCCCTTACTATAGTTTGAGAGTTCTTAAAACTAGTCAATAACAAATTTTAAGTTTTCAAGCTACTTATAAAACTTTTAAAGAGTTAGGATTATATGGCATCCTGGGAAAAATATTTTTATAGTTCCTTCAGAATCTGAGATTAAGAATTACCATAGTTATATATGGTATTGCCTATTTTTTGTTGAGAATCATTACAAAGCCCAGTTTCACCTTCACGGGTGACATAACTGTACTTTATAGAATATATATATAATGTTCATGTATGCACTATTTAAAAAAATGCATTGAGGAAACATGGCTTCCCAGCATACCTTCCTCTGAAAGTTTCTCTCTCTCTCTCTCTCTCTCTCTCTCTCTCTCTCTCTCTCTATATATATATATATATATATATATATATATATATATATATATTTAACAATACAGTTACATTCATCATTGGGATCTTGTATCTTTCCATGATTTATCTTGGTTCTTATTTTTTCCCCACTCCCCTGCCCTCCTTTCACCCCCTTCACCCTTCCCTATTTACAAAGACTTTGTTTCCTTTTCTCTTATTTTTTCTTTTCCCCTCTTACCTTTCCCCTACTCCTCCCACTTCCCCTACACTTTTAGGCCTTTTCTTCCTATTACACAATATCAATTATGAATTTTTGATCCTTATTTACACTTTTAGTTTATCAGTATTTACTCATGTGTGTACTATTAATTTCACATAAGAGTATATCTTCAATGTGCATCCACTTAGCTATAAATGTCTCTAGTTTCTCATTCTTTATGGCTGAGTAGTATTCCATTTTATTAAAAAAAAAACCACACATCTTCTTTATCCAGCCTCCAGTCAATGAGCAATTGAGCTGTTTCCAATTTTTAGCTATTACAAACTGTACCACTATAAGCATGGGTGAGCATGTATCACTGTAGTATGATTCTTTTAATTCTTTTGGGATGAATCCAAGCAGGGGAATAGCTGGGTCAAATGGGACTTCTAATCCATACTGATTTCCACAGTGGTTGCACCAGTCCACACTCCCACCAACAATGAAGAAGGGTTCCTTCTCCCCACACCCCTACCAGCATTTGTTATTAGTTGATTTCATGAAAGTAGCCATACTTTCTGGAGTGAGGTGGAATCTCACTGTTGTTTTCATCTTCATCTCTCGAATGACCAGTGATGTTGAACATTTTTTCATATATTTATTTGATGCTTTTACTTTTTTGCCTGACAAATGTCTGTTCATTTCAGATGCCCATTTTTTAATTTGGGTCTTTATATTGGGGGGCCTGATTTTTTTGTGTTCTTCATATATTCTAGATAGTAGACCTTTGTCTGAGAAACAGCTGGTAAAACTTTTTTCCCACATTGTAGGTTGTTTCTTAGCTCCATTGGTAGCTTCTCTTTCAGTGCAGAAGGTTTTTAATAAGATGAGATCCCAGTTGTTGATTCTTTGTGATAATTCCCGTGCTACTGAGGATTTTTTCATAAAGTCTTTTCCTATGCCAATCTCTTCAAGATTTCTACCTAGCTTATCTTCCAACAAGTTTAGTGTTTCTGTTTTAATATTTAGACCTTTAATCCACTTGGATTTTAGTTTAGTGGATGGTGAAAGATAGGGGTCTAGTTTTAATCTTTGGCAAGTTGAAATCTAGTATTTCCAGCACAATTTATTAAAGAGGCTATCTTTCCTCCAGGGAGGATGGTTGGCTCCTTTGTCAAAGATGAGGTAGCTGAGCATGTCTTGAATTGTTTCTGCATCTTCTAATCTGTTCCACTGTTCCTCGGGTCTGTTTATTTTCCAGTATCATCCTGTTTTTAACACAGTGGCTTTGTAGTATAGTTTCAAGATGGTGATTGTAATACCCCGTCATGCCTCTGTTGCCTAGAATGGTTCTTGGTATTCTACATCTCTTGTTCAAAATGAATTTTGCAATGTTTTCTCTAATTATATGAAATGTACTGTTGGGATTTCAATAGGGATTGTGTTAAATCTGTAGAGTAGTTTTAGAAGTATGGCCATTTTCACTATGTTGATTCTTCCTACCCTGGAACAAGGGATTTCTTTCCATTTTCTTATATCCTCTTCAGACTCTTTTTTTCAGAGTATTGTAGCTTTCAGTGTAGAGGCCTTTTGCTTCCTTTGTTTGATCAATTCCTAGATATTTTTTTCTTTTTTTTAATTTAAATTGAAT